GAATAAAATGTTGCATTTAAAAAATAATAATAGTAAATAATAATATAATATAGTGTACTCCTCCCTATTAAAATTGCTGACAAAAATATATAAGATATATTTTTTAAAATTCAAAAAAAAAAAAAAATTAAAAATTAAAAATAAAATAATGCATCAATGAGAAAAAATGATTTCTAATTTAATTTTAGAAATTTAAACACATTTCATTAATTTCAAGGAAAAGTACCAAAATTTAATATCTGCGAATATACAAGATTTGTGAAAAAGTACATTTCTCATAGAATTATGAATCGCGTTTTTTTGTTTAATGAAAATAATGCTATTATTCCTTTGTTCAAATATTGAAAATAATCTGTTATTAGAATGTGCATTTTTTGAACATCAGGAGTAGCAATATTTAAAATCAAAAGTTGTGTAGGTTAATACTAGAAAATTTTATCGTATATATTATTCATTTTTCCTACTTTTTACTTTTCCCTTACGTTAATAAATAACTGCTATTTTTAATATAACGTTATAATTGTTCCATGCCCTTACTCCGTATACACATAATGCATAATATTATGAATAAAAATGGAAGCTGGGTTGCATCCATATCCTACAATATTCATTAGCATATAATATTATGATACACATAGATATTAATTAAGCGTATATGTATAAATTAAATATATTTTTGTTGAATATATGATATAGAAAATTTACTTTTAAGGAATTATATGATCATGAATGTTCTCCTTCTGTTTTACCTATAGCCACAAATTTATTTATTTATATTTGGCATTTTTCTTTTCATCGGTTTGGAAGGCAGTTTCTTTTACGATGCAAGAGTAAATTGCTCCGTTTGGTTATTCCCTTTTGCCTTGTCAGTTAATTTTCATTAAGCCTTTTTTGTTATTATGTTTATGAATAACTGAACTCTTTAGTGTCTCTATTTATGTTATTAATTATAGTTAGGCTTTTGGGGGGTTCTATTTCTTTATGCACATCACAATGTTATTTTATTCACATGCATTGTAATTATCAATATTATATATTTTAACGCAATAATGAAGAAAGGCAAAGCAAAGAAATGTAGGTCGGTCGGTATGAAAATAAATAAGACAAACATATGTATATATAGACTGAGGGAAAAATATTTTAAGGAAGGTGTTGTCTAAGAATCCCTTTCATTATAAATAGTAGCTTGTGTGCTTTAGGTACATAGTTTTTTAAGGACGTCGAAGAAGAAAGAAATTACCCAGTCATAATGTCCTATTTTGTAGCGCAGAAGAATAATATGTACTGTAAATAAATGTGCTGTTTCATGTGAATTTTATTATTCGGCCCTGCGGGCTATTGTAACATAAAAGGTATTAAATAATTGTAATAATAGATGAATAAATAGAAGCAGTTCGTCCAATTGGCTCATTAGCAGGGGAAATATATTTGTGCGAGCACATGCGTGTGTAGCATGAGGCACATGTATATGCATAATAATTGCATATATATTATGACTGTTTTAATGTTAAGGGTATAATTATTATTCCTGTCCGTTTAGAAATATGATCTGTGGGGGTACGTATAAGAGAATATTCTTTTCATGTACACAAATTTAGATGGTGAAAATATTGCCAACGATTTTAATACTTGCTGGGAAACAGATTTTGACTTGTTATAAAAATTATATTTAAAAAGTTCCTGCAAAATAGTGTATCGCATGGATAATCAACCCCCTGCACGTGTGCCACGACATAATTGTAACCTTTCAAGGAGGCATACTGTAGATTTACACTGAATGCGTACAGTGATTTTTAATTTTGTGCACAATTTTTATTTTGCCTTTGTATATATTATAAAGTGTATAAAAATGAGAAGGAGAAATCATAGAACGTTTGCTTTTTTAATATGGTATTGTCTCATTAGAATTCTTTTTTAGCTAGAAATGTTTTCTCGCTACATATGAACATATGTCGCATTCCCTATTTATGCACACCTTTGCTATTCAGCATTGGAATGGAACCATATTAAATTATTATGTGGGAGGAAGGACATTGCGTTTTAAGAAGCCTCGCTCTATGTAATAATAAATAATAATGTGCACATTTTTTCTAATTGGGATGATATTTTTCTGATAAAAAAGGGAGTGTGTTAGAGATGTACTGCTGGCTCATGGAGCACAAATTTGCTGTGTCTGTAGTTCTATAGATCTTATAGGAAATGTTAAAACAATACGAGGAACGAGGAGTGATTTTGTTTGCGTTATTTTTTGGCCTTTTTTTTTTTCTCATTATGGAATTTTATATAAATTATAAAAGTGTAATTAGGTACCTTTTATGAACATGAATTTCATTTATTTATTAAATAGTATTTATGATGCGATGGTGTTGCCAAAAATATAAATAAGAAGTGAACAGATTCCCATCCCCCCCACGAGAAAAAATTAGATACACATGTAAGTACGAATTAACAATACCAATCAGAAGCATGTGATAAGGGGAATAGTTTATTCCATTTCGTCCGAGTGCCTAATGAAATATTTATTGGGACGTAATAAAATATGACTTTTTTTTTTTTTCTTTGTTTTTTTTTTTTCTGTCTGTTTTTTTTTTCCTTGCTTTCTTTATTTCTGTGTACATTATTCAAGTAGAGTTAGAAGTTGTGTTACTGACAGTGTAATTCGTTCTCTTATTTGGGGGCATTGCAAGAAAAAAATAATGTAAAATAAAAGGGCAGTGCTTGAATTATATTGTACTGTAGTCGTTTCCCTTTTGTTTTTTTTTTCACATGCTCTCTTAAATGCGTCGAAGGGGGGGGGCGGATGAATCGCATTAAATGCCTATTTGATAAAGGAAGACCCCCTTTTGTATGAAGCTTTGCTGCCATATACCAATTAAATGTGTAAGGACGTGCGTAGTAGCTGAGTTCAAGGTACAACAGGTTCAGGGACTGTATCAATTTTTTGGGGGGTTCAGCGTGTGAATGATATCACACGTTAAGGCATACGGTCTCTATAGAGAATTTATAAATAAGAACACATACCGTACTATTATCAAAATGTAAAATGCACAAAAAACTGTTATGTACGGAATCAGAACAAAGGGCAATTATCGTAATAAAGGAATGAATGAGAAGTAAAGGACGTAGTGCACGGGAAAATGTATCGTGAACATACATATAGTTAAGGGATGAATCCAATATTTTTGTATTTCTTTACTAATTCTTGATTTACATATATGTACTATGGGTGCAAAAAAGAAAGAATGGGATACACACAAAATTAGGGTCTTGCACAGAAATCATAGCGCACGTTAAAAGCTTCTGTAATTTTCAACAAAATAAGATCTTAATTATTCTACGCGACACATTATACAATATTTTAACAGAATGTATGAAGCGTTCATAATATTGTAAAATTGGAAATAATAGGCTTCCTATAAATAAAAGAACATCTATTATATATCATTATGAAGTGTTCCGTAGAAGTATATGTATAATTGTGGATGGTACAAATATTGCAGAACGGAAGGAACTGTGCATAGTATATTATAATTGATCAAAAAATATATATTAATTTATATAAAATAAGCGCTGCATTTTTTTTCCTTCGTTGATAAGCTTTCTCACAGAAAAAAATATTGTGTGCACCCTAAACCTTATTGAGCGGGACCCACAGGGATCAAACCTGAAAGTCCAATTTTCATATTATACGGGTCCTCCTTGACGTATACGGCTTCTAAGTAAATTGGTTCTTTAAGAAAGGCTATACATTCGTCTGCTGTCTTAAGGGCCATTTCTTTCCATGATTCTCTAATGTCATATAAAATCTTCTCGAATTCATATGTGCTCAATTTTTCCTTTGCAAGCATGGTACGAAATACACTATTAACATGTTCATTCTGTTTTGTCAAGTTATTATAAAATATGTCTTCACATTCACTCCATTTGTCGTTATATATTTGTATAGTTGCAACATTTTGTTTTTTTTTGCAATTGTAAGAATGTGTTTAGCAGAGATTTTTTAAGGTCACCATATTTATGTCTTTCATTTCTGTATGATTGCCAGTATAGGGAGAGTAATTCCGATTTATGAGGTTCTTCTTCAATTTGTCCTAATTTTTCATCTATAGCAGAATCCGTCAATCTTTCATCGAAACAGGACATTTCGTAGTTGAATGCAATCGAGCTATAGTCTTCATGTCTGCCTGATGGTCTAGAATCCCCAGATAATAATTCATCCCTTTTATGTGTATGATCTTTTTCATTATATTTTGATGGTCTTTTGTTATGTTGTTTTAATAAGTTTTCATATTCTTCTTTTCTGTATCCTGCTTGTTTGTACACACGTTTTTGCCAATTACTGTACTTCATCTGCGGTGTCTCGAGCTCATATATCGCTCTAAAAGTTTTTAGGGCCTGGAGGACAACAGGAGATATGTCACTACTTAGCATGTAAGGTCTTGTGTACACTACTTTGTCATCTGATTCCTCAGTTGTTTCTCCCTCAGGGGTTCTTGTTTCTCCCGAAGGAACATATGTTTGTCCCCTAAAAAACTGTGTTTTGTACTGCGCAGCTTCTTTCTGTGCCTGAACGATTGGTTCCTGAGGAATATCGAACGATTCTATAGATTCATGGATGTCTTCTTCCTTTGAATCGTGTTCTATGTTCCTTTCACCATCATAATGTACTTCTTCTTGTACCTGTTGCTCCTCTTGCTCCTCTTGCTCCTCTTGCTCCTCTGGTGTCCATTCTCCTAGAATAGCTCCTTGTCCCCCTCTATAATATTGTCCTTTTTCTTCGTCCTAGGACTGTTTGTTAGAATATAATGGTTCTTCTGCATCTTCACCTTGTGGCCATTTGATCTGTTCTAATTCAAGTGCCTGTTCTGATGGAGGTGCTTGTTCTATTTTCATGGCTAAATTTCTAGCAACATTGTTCTTTATTTGTAATGCAGAAGTAGCAACATTCTGTGTCTGGATCTCATCCTGGTGCTTCGAACGAAAGGCACGAGATAAAGGGTGTGCGTGTGTGTGTGCATGAGTTAATAACAGAATGGGCACATACGACATAACACGAAGGAACGTAGAAAGGGGAAGCAGCAAATATACATGCAGTAGTATATATGCGATACATGTGGCATATATATATAGGCAAATGTACAAACATTCGAGTTCGTACATACGTCTGTACAACCGCACATTTTTCTGTTTTTTTTGATGGACTCACCTTTAATAAGATATACGCACAAACAAC